CTATTATTCATTTTACAACACTTGAAAAATTACTACAGAAAATGTGTTGTTGTTTTGTTTTCAACAAAAGTGTGTGTGTTTTAAGTTTATTTATACTCGGCGCCGGAATAACCATATGTCCGAGATTATAGCATCTGGGACGTCTTTTTCAAGCAGATTCTTCCTGGAAGCCCATTCTTCGTTCTTTGGTGGTAAAGGAGACGACAATACCGTCAAGGCATCAACTTTCTGACTGACGACAACAAAAACGGCATCTATTAGCGCCAAACCTCCAGAGTAAGTCACGACAGGTCAACCAATCACCTCTGGTACTTATGATGACTTGACTATGACCTTCCGTGTGCCTTCTCCGCGACGTGCACGCCTCTGGAGGGATTTGGAGAAGTTTCAACAAAAACTTCCAAAACACGCCATTTATAACACCATTCATAGCACTGACGGCTTCGATGTTCTCATCTATTTGCGGGAAATGGTCGACAGGGAAAACCCTACGTAATAACCGCACACCCTGTTAACAACAGATTTTCCGCAGTATATATTTCAAGCTAGTGAGGTTTAAAAATACACGTAGAATCTATCGATTAACTACCATAAGTTGGTTGAGTGTTGAGTGTTGGCGGTAAAAAAAGAAGATATAACTTCCTGATCAATTTTCACTTAGGTTGATTCAGTTTTGAATAAGCTTTGCAGAGATGTATTTTTTCAAGAAATATTTAGCTTTAATATTATCCGACGCCGTCAGTAATGAAATGGGATTAATTTTTCTGAAACGTGATTTTATTCGAGATTTGCTTCTGAAGAAGACAACCTTCTGTCCGTAGAGCATGAATGTTAATACTCATCACAAGACAGTATCTTATTGATCTCAATTATGGTACATCTAAACGTGTATAAATTTTCATGTTTCAATAAAAATGTTGCATCACTTGCAGTTGTTATTATCATTCAATAATATTAAAATGACATAAAATATTTATGATGAACAGTCCTAGAATATTTTGATAAGGAACCGTCAGTTGTAAAATGTTATTGTTATCTGATAATGAACAGTCGTCATACTTGCTGGTATGTCATTTATTATTGACAGTTTAGGTTTTTCAAAATTTGCATGATTAACAGTCCGAATGTAGACCTTAATTAAATGTTCTGGAATATTAACAAAATGAATAGTCAACCTCATCAACCATATATATGAATGGTTGAACACAACAGTAAGGATAAATAGCGCAATGTGCATATCTTTTTATTTTGGTAGCATATTTTAAGCAAAAAGAAAAGAAACTATAAGTCTGAAACATTCTCTCATAGCCTCCCCTTCAGTACATTCAGTGCTTTGATTTTATATAATACAAACAAAATGAGATTCTATTTCATGCCTCTGAAGGAAAGCTTTTAGATTTTGAATTGTCTGTCTCTCTGTCTAAGGGGTGGTTAAGGGAGGCTTAGTTACCTTCCTTTAGTTGTCTTGTTTAGTTGATTCTATTGAAAGTGATGTAGATATTACATGAACAGTTTTCTCATATATGATACTTTGCCCTCAATTAAATATACATGATGTATCTGGCAATATAAACAAATGTATGAGCATAAAACAAAGGTCCTCTTTCTGTGACAATGATTGAAGAATTGTGACCATATCTAATAATGGATCTTAGGTGAGCAATCTATAGCCATCAGGCTCTCGTGTTTGACCTGAGGTTAACCTTTTCTGAGAGTTCATTTTTCAAAAACTATCTTAGGTGTTTACTTCAAACTTGAAATGATTAATAACAATGAAATTGGAATGTATTTTAGAAAAGCAGGTAGTCTTGATATTCAGTTTTGCCCCTTTTTAAAATGGAAAATCTTGATGTTTTATTTAAGGTACATTTCTTCAAAAATACCTTAGATTTTTACTTTAAACTTTGAATTCTTAATTACTTTCAGAATGCTTTTCTTATTTTCTTATAGGCAGATAACCCTTAAGTTGCTTTAGTGTTTTTGACTTTGAATATTATGTTTTTCTCAAAATCTGTCAAAGATATTAACTTCAAATTTGAAATTCTTGTTCACTATAGAGAGCATGTACTATAAATCTGCCAAGTACTTTTGCCAAATTATGCCTCATGTCTCCTTAACTTTAATTATGCTATACAATATGAAAGAAATAGGAGTGTGCTGTACAAAGATAGGTCTTGTTATGGACTTGTATTCATACACCACTTAATCACCTCGACTGTTGCCCTGTCCATTGCATTCCTACCCACATGAGCTTAATAATTGTACAAGTTAATGCTATCATACATTTCAGTAAAACATATTGGTATTTCTTACTGTACATGATTCATTTCTATGAATATAGCTGTTACATGATAGGAATAGATATTTTTGTGTTATACATGTATATTTTGTTTTTTTTAGCAAGATATATTTGTGATAGAGGCTAGAGCAGCTGAGGGTTATGGTGCAAGGTGGACAGCAGATGGAACACAGTTTCGAGGGTTTCTAGAACCACAGATGGTAGATGGTCATGAAGTTGGCTGGAGACATTAACATATTCTAGAAAATAAAGAAACAATACTCATACTATTCCACATTATTCTGTGGTATACTTTCCCTGGTGGAAGGTTGTATTTAAGCACAGTGTAAAGACTGAACACAAGGTTTTATTACAATATATGTTTACATACCACTTTTAATATATTTGGTCCAGCCAGAATCATCATAAAATCATATTATTGCAAGTTATAGATTTTATAGAAATTGAGGTCATATGAGCTCTTTGATAGCAAGACTGTAAATGTTTGATAGAGGATATTACTGTATTATGTGACTATGATTGCTCACTCATTATAAAAGACCTCTTTAACACAAATTATTTTATAACAAAATAGTCGAGAAACATTTAGTAGAAAAACATTTTTATAGGATATGAACTGCTAATGGTAATAACACTTGTTTACAATTTATAATTTACGAATAATTTATGTGTGACTAATTTATGAAATGATATATAAATGCCCTATACAAATGTACATGATATTCACTGTTTTTATAAGCATTGGTGTACATAATTTTTATGCCACAGCATCTGTGGTGCGTTGGCATATAGCCATTCACCTGTGTATGTGCGTTATATAGATAATAAAGTGAACTTAAAAAATCTCCTGTGAAAAACCACTAGTCCAAATTCAACAAAACTTGGCAGGATTGTTTCCAGGGTGAAGGGCTTCCAATATTTTTCAAAGAATTTGATTCCCTGCAGAAATCTAGTTGCCATGGCAAACAATAGATATTCTTCTAAATATCCACAAGGCCTAGAGCATAGAAATTTTGCATAAGGCATTGTTAAGGAGACCTTTACCAATATTGTTCAAGTTATAGCCCTTGGGTCAAAATTGGCCCCTCCCTGGAGGTCATAGGTTTTCCTTCTATGGTTATAGTAAAAAACCTTAAAAAATCTTCTCCTTTGAATTGACAAAGGCTAGAGTTAGGTATTTAGCATGAAACATTGTGTTGTGGACTTCTTCCAAGATTGTTCAAATTACAGCCCTAGGGTCAAAATTGGCCAGCCCGAGGTTCATGGGTTTTCCTTATATGTATATACATTGTATAGTAAAAACTTTAAAATCTTCTCTTCTGAATTGACAAAGACTAAAGCTTAGATATTTTGCATGAAACATTGTGTTGTGGACCTCTACCAAGATTGATAAAAAAAGCCTTTGGGTCAAATTTGTCTCGCCTGGGGTGGGGGGTCAAAGGTTTTCCTTATATGTATATTGTAAAAAAATCTTCTTGTCTGAAGGTACAAGGCTTAGAGCTCAGATTTTTGGTATATACATGTCATATCATCAATATGTCCTCTACCAAAGAAACACAAAAAAATATCTTCTTTTTCATCACTACCATTTAGTGTTGTATTAATGTCGTGCATTAAAGCATTTTTCACAAATACAATCATGTTATATGTTAGTGTATGTCACTTTGAGTGCAATAAAGTTATATTTTCAGTGTTAAACTGCTTTGTTCTGATATACTAATTACCTGATGAATTAATTACTGTATAGTGCCCCCACAGTAGAAGGGTATTTAGATTTGCCCTTGTCCATCCATGTGTGCGTCTATGCGTTCCAATCTTGTGGCACATGTAGCTGTAAAAATGCTTGTGCTATTACAAGAATGTTGATCGGCATGTGAAGTTGAGCTGTTTGGTTTCATGTGGTGATAAATTCAGTATTGTCAGAGTTATTGCTCTTGACTTAGTAAAAAAAATTCAATTTTCTATATCACACGTAGCTCAAAAAGTATTTAACATAGTCATTAAACTTAACAGGGATGTTGGTCGTCATGTGGTATTTAGATTTGTCCTTTTCCATCAGTGTGTGTGTCTGTGCGTTCCCATCTTATGCCACATGTAACTCTAAAATGCTTGTGCTAGAGTCATTTAAAACATTACAGGAATGTTGATCGGCATGTGAAGTTGCGCTGTTGGGTTTCATGTGGTGATGAATTAAGTTTTGTCAGAGTTATTGCCCTTGACTTGGTAAAAAAAATCAATTTTCTATATCACACGTAGCTCAAAAAGTATTTAACATAGTCATTAAACTTAACAGGGATGTTGGTCGGCGCGTGTAGTTTTGCATTTGGGGGTTTGCTTGTGGGTGTATCCAGTATTTAGAGTTATTGCCATTGACTTGGTAAAAATTTGTAATTTTCAACTTGTGTGGCATGTAGCCCAAAAAGTATTTGACCTAGAGTCATAATCTTTATGGAAATGTTAGTCAGCATGTGTAGTTGTTCACATAGGGTTTGCTTGTGGATTGATTTATTGCCGTATTTGTAGAGTTATTGCCCTTGACTTAGTTAAAATTTGCAAACTTAACAGGAATGTTGGTCAGCATGTGCAGCTGCACACCTGGGGGTTTGCTTGTGCATTTTCTAGTTCTTGTAGAGAAATTGCCCTTAACTTAGAAAAACAAAAGTTTCAAAATGTTGTGTTTGAGCTAGAATCAAGAAACTTTAAGAATATTGATCAGCTTGTGTAGCTGAGCATATAGGGTTTTGTGTGGATTTATTCAGTTTTGTTAAAAGTTATTGCCCTTGACATAAATTTGCAACTTTCACGTATAGCTCAAAAGTATTTGACCTGAAGTCCTGAAACTTCACAAGAACGCCGGTCAGCATGTGTAGTAATTCACTTGTAGGCTTGCTTGTGAAATATTGCAGTATTTGTAGAGTTATTGCCCTTGAATTAGTAAAAGATGTGCAATTTTCAACTTGCGTCTTGCGTAACTAATAAAGTAGTTGACCTAGAGGAATGGAATTTTACAAGACTGTTGGTCAGCATGTTTTGTTGTGCATCTTGGGCTTTGCTTGCTTTTACTTTCTTTTAAGCATACTTAAGGAAATAAAATTGACATTTAACAATTTAATAATTTAGGGTTCTATTTTCAAATTATTTTAGAACCACTAGAAAACAGCAGCAAAGACGGTGTCTACTGTGTCCTTTTAAAAAAAACATGTTCCACACCATCTTATCATGAGTCGACATAACGAACATATGTCAAAACAGCAATTCATTAGTTCATTGACAGACTCGGGCTTTTATTTGTTTTTAGATATGAATAAGTTTGATCATTTAACATGGATTTATTATTGCTGTTGATGCGTGAGTGTTGGGTAAAGACCAGTTGCACATACAGAGAACATATATGTCGGAGCTTTGTACATGTATGATATATCACATTTTATTCTAAATAGTAACCTTCTTAAAGACCTTACATTTTAACTGTTTAATAAGACGAATCAGTTCGCGTGCTCTTAAAATATGATTAAAGATTACATTTAAACGTGCATGGTAATTTATTGCAGATATGTGACACAAAACTATTCAGCTTATCTGTAACGGTTAATATCTAGAACACGGGTACGTGCTTAATCATAATGCGATGTCAAAGTGTTACCTAATTTTTTTACCTCAACATGTTAACCAATTAAATATTAAAAGTTTAACAGGGAGTTTGAATCTCGACATGGCAGAGGAAATATCGCGGGAACTTGGTGGTACCTGGGTACTAGAGCGGAGCGAAAATGTCACAGAATATCTGACAGAGCTGGGTAAGTTGCTTCAAATTGTATCCAAGTTGTATCTTCTTTTTTAAGATACCCACCTTAGACCAATAGCCAAGTTCAAATCAATCAATCTAATGATAATTAAAACATTTACAGTCCATGTTTAATTTTTCACGTTTGTGTAATTCACTAATAAATTTTATGTACTTCTAATTTTTAAAAAGTTCAAATGTATCTTTAACCCATTTAAAAAAACGAACGGCTACTAAGTTATGTGGAACGTAGATATTAATTATTTATTCGTAAAACCGACAATGTTGTTACTATTTACCAGGGATGTAAAATAAACGTTACAAAATTTGCAGAGACTTTTATAAGTTCCATGCTATTTAGAACGCTGTCTTTGAGCTTATTGCATTAAAAACGTAAATGCATACTTCATTTAACTATGTTTAACATTCCTTTAAGTTTAGTTAACGTATTATCACAAAGGGGTATCGTGTATCGACTGGAGAAAAAGAGAATCTTGGTATAATTAAAGTTCTGTCACGAGGAGTGTGCAATCAACTAATCTAAGTACATTTAAATGTATCCTTAATAGGTTCCAGTCGAAATTTTATTCGGTCCCATCGAAGTATGGACTACATAAAATTAATTTCAATTGAAACATATGAAGAATACATCAGCCATTGTTGTTTTCGTTGTGGATACATATCTAAAGCTACATATTCTTCTACTGGTTGACCATACGCTGCCTTTCTTAGATTGACACGTACGTGTCTAAATGAAGTTCCCATGATCACCACCGTGAATTTATTTGCGAATGTTTGAAACAATCTGTTTATATTAAAATGAATTCTGCTTTAGCCGGTGCTATGGAGCATAGACGGTAATATATGTATTGCATTCACAGAATAGACTCGATCAATCCGAGTCTGTAATGTTCATTTTCAAATTTGCTGCTTTGGAGTTCTTTAAAATGTTTGGTTTATATAAGTGCGATATTATAAATTACATAATGCAGGGGCAGTCAATGTGGAAGTTTATCTAAATATCTTGTTATGATCTAAGACTAGCTTATAATTAAAGCTTCTTTTGTCTTGAATTGATGTGTCCTTCCTTTAGACAGGAGTTGGACCCTGTGAACGCAAATCGTTCTCGGACGAAACCGCTTCACAAACAATTAGCGTCACTGATGACGTTATACACCTTGAGATGAAGTACGGCAAAAGACAGATTAAGATGGATTTTAAATTAGACGAAGAGTTTGTCATCAACGCTGGAAAACCAAGCAAAGTAAGTAATTTGTCACACAATTCCACATAGTGTGGTCACATATCTAAGTTCATGTTATATCATGTAATACTTTTTATCATTATTATAACGATAAAAATGTGACACAGATATTATATTTGAACAAAACCAGAGACATTCAGTAATGCAAAACCAAACCATATTTACCTCATCCAATTTTATGTAATTACGAATCAGTCAGTTGTCTTTTCTAGAAAACACAAATAACAAGAGAAGAAACATAAACAAAACATCAATAGATAAATCCGAAAATTTGATATATATTCATATTTCAGGCAATTGCTTCCTGGATGAACGGTGCTATGGTGATCAACACTTGTCGTGTAGAATGTGGTAGACAGCAACAAATAGAAAGAAAACGAAAAGGCGACAAGTTAATTCAGGTATACACATTTGTCATCTTATTATTGCTTATACAATATATTATCTTGAATATCAGACTGGCGTTTCCGTTAGTTTTACCCATTCCGGAAATTTCATCTGGCATGGGGGATTCCAGATGAGTCGCGTGCTGTACAATGGCACGATGAAGATGACGTCATTTTACCGTTATGAATGATTTTGTAATTCATACGCTGTTGAATGAAAGTAGTTACGGTTGTAATGATATAAATTTTCATTGAAAGTAAAGATAAAGAATTTAAAATATAATGGAATATGGTAGAATATGCAAGAAAAAAAATCTGACATATGTTTGCGGTTCGGATCGGAATATCCGTCCCTCGGTCACCAGCCCATTGGGCGGTAACTCGGCAAGCCTCGTTACCGCCCAATGGGCGGGTCACCTCGGGACGGATATTTCGATCCGAACCGCAAAATATGACAGATATTATTAATCTATTAGTAACGCGCATTTTCAATATCGAAACGGTAGACGCTCAGAATAAAAGTAACGTTACCATTTTTACATACATAAACATGTTAAAACTTTCTTTTCAGAGATCTAAATTAACACTAAATTAGCACCTATTTCAATTTGGGACGCTTATGCAAATATAACGATAATTATGTCGCAAATGTTTCCATTCAATAACCAGAGAACCATTTGATCCATAGCCTTCATCCGCTCAATAATATGAGACCAATTAGACCAATAACCTTCAATACTCACATGATGATACCCTTATTGAGAAAAACATCCCTGTTTCTTTGGCACCGATATTTGAAACTCAAAGACACAGTGGCCATGACTTCATTTTTTTATAGAATGATAATTTTTATTGAGTACACGACCCCTAATGTTTTAAAAGCGCTTATGCTTTAAGGTCAATGTCACAATCGTCTTTATTTTGAAAACTGTACCGCTCAATAACAAGAGAACCATTTGATCTAATGATAATCTAAAAGACCACAGTTGTTTTGGTTGCCGATTCTCTAAGGTCAAAGACACAGTGACCTTGAATGTGAAAAACCGTTTCTGATTAATAACTAGATAACTTAAGAATCATTTTACCCATAGCCTTTAACTCCATAGGATGACCTCCTTCACTGAGTAGAAGCACCTATTGTTTCGGGCGCTAGTACGTGAAGGTCAAGGTGAGAGTGACATTGAATGTGAAATGTGTCAGCTTAGTAAACAATTCAACCAAATTCTTCTCACTTCACAAGATAAAAACACTCTTTGTGTGTTAGACCTCTTTTGCTTTGGTCTCAGGTTAAGGTCATAATGACATTAAATGCCAAAACTATAAAAGGTCTCTTGATTTTCTGCGCTGATGCGTATAGGTCAAGGTCACAGTGACCTTGAATGTGAAATCTATTTCTGCTCCAAAAAAAAGTAGAGGGCCATTTGATCCATAACCGTAATTGAAATGATTATCACCCGCAATATTTTTGGGCACTGATGCGTAAAGATTAAGGTCATGTGCAATGACCGTAAACTTATACTATTCCTTCTCATTGACTAGAGAACCAGTTGACTCCATGCATTATATATCTTATGTATATGTGGGACAACAATATACGACAATGTTTACTGCTTTATAAGTAAAACACATGTATAATGTTATATCTATTCTAGAATATAGATGTGAATATAAAAAAATTCATAGTTTTGACATATACTGGGGGCAGTTTATTGACAGCTAAATGACTCAATATCTATCATGTGAGTAACGGTATAAGGAATTTTCTTTGATTGGTTACAAAACTACCTTTCAAAGTAATGAAGTTATAAATAGGAAACAGATTTTATGTTTTCTCTGGCTAGATCACAGTGAAATTATCTTCATTCTTTTCCATCTTTTGTGTATAATTGACCAATTCTTAGTTGCAATATATTAAAAAAAAAGACTAAAGAGATATATTTATTTGGAAACTATGTGAATATGATAATATTTAACGTCTGTTAGAAACGACTATGATTATTATACACACTTTTCGGGAAAAAAAATGTGTTTTCTCATTCATGGAGATTTACCACTTCATAACAATTTTCTCTTTGACTTTTATAATGATACACATTAAAAGTTGGTGGAAGAAGACACATTTTGACATTTTTTTTACTTTAATTTGCATTCATTAGGTTATGCCTGCAATTCTGAAGATGTAAACTATTATAAATCATTGGGGGATTAGACTTTTATGTATCATACAAAAATAATGATTGTGATGGCTCTTAGTAGTTGAAACAGTCTTCTGTTGAAATGTTCTAAAACACGTTCCTTACAAAATTGTTTAACGTGCTGATTTTGAAGTGTATATGTATATAGTTGTGCGTCTTTGCAAATAAGTATGTCACTGATTTATTGAACAAGCATGGGCACATTCCTTCGGAAACATGACTCTTGTCGATATTTGAAGCTAGAAATTAATAGCTAACTGCTAAGTCGTTTTACGCTTTAATGTGCAGAATAGCAATTTAATAACAGTTATCTAAAGTGAGTTTCTTTCTGTTTTTTTGTAGACGATGACGTCAAATGGCGTATCTTGTAGACGGATCATGCGGCGTCTCTCAGCAGATATAACATAAAAAAGATAAACATGATATGTCAAAATGTTTATCATAACTTATGTGTTATATATTAACATCATCCCATTCAGAAGTATCTCTATTTTCATTTCATTTTAAATGGTTTGTTACGAGTTTACATTAGTGTGCCTTCGTTTGAAAGAGAAAAAAACGTTGCCGCAAATCAGTTGATATGAGTTTACATAACTGATTTTTCTCTCACAATGAATATTTTAATTATGATAAAACGATCATGCAGAAATGAACCATGTTTATAACTTTCTTTTCTGAAAAATAAAAGCGGCCAGTAAAGCGTGGCTTTAAGCGGATTCCCTGATGAAGATTTCCAAGAAGCAGAATTATTTACGGAAACTATGGATAAAGGCAACTTGTGCTGAAATCTGTCTTTAATTGCTCCCCATTTACCTTATCATACCTGTTAAATGCATTATATACATGTCCCCGATTAGTCACTTAGTTATTATAACAAATTTTATTATACCCACACATATTGCAGTGGTATAAATAAATTATGAATAAATACTGATTTTTTGTAGTCGGGCTAAAACAGACCGCTGAATCGCTATCAATAAAGTTATCAAAATTTTTATCTTTATAACCACCATTGCCAGACTCGTTTTTTTTGTAAACGAAATATACCCGAGGCACTACTTATGAACTCAATAATGATTTGTCCATAGTTTTACAAATAAAAGAATTGATAGAAATGTCGATTCATACAGTAGTTCAGGTACAAATCGATATATTTAATTACGGGCTTTGTCAGTCATTCAAACTAAATGAGATGAGAAATAACTGGAATATGATTTCTGCTTGACTGAAAATCAAATACATATCTATAACAGCCTGTAAATTACACTTAATGGTAAAGATGGAGTTCTGGAAATTATTCTTAGTGACCTGTTTTTTGTTGATTGTTAACTCAGGAGAAATAAATGGAGTTCAGAATAAAAGTTCAGAGTACCTGTTGTATGAACACATTTTTGTAGACCAAGGATATAACAGAAATATTCGACCTGTTGTAAACTCATCAAAACCTATATTTGTCAACGTCTCATTAAATCTACTTAATATTATCAACTTTGATGAAGTAGCTGAAAAGTTGACCATAGCTGGCGAGCTGAAGATTTCCTGGATTGACGAATATCTCACATGGGATACAGATGTATACGCTGGAGTAGATAGTCTCAACATTCTTCAGAACAATGTATGGAAACCTGACATTGGTTTGGATAATTCCGTCACTAGACATAGTGACATGGGAACGCCGGCAATGTATGTCCTTGTGCGAAATAACGGAGAAGTGTTTTGGAATCCAATGGAGGTGTTTGTGTCAACATGTCCAGCGAATGTTATAAAATATCCTATGGACGAACAAACATGTTGTCTTAATTTTGAAGCGTGGAATTTTAACAGAAAATCTGTTCAGATAGGTAAAGGATCTGATAGAATTGAGGTAGATCACGGATATGATGGCCTCCCACAATGGTTCATCACAGAAACATCTGCCAGAGAAATGATGGAGGCTGATGATTATTACGTTACTTTCTGTATATCGTTAAAACGTCAGTCATTGTATGTGATGCTGAACATTATTCTTCCTATAGCCATGTTATCACTGCTGAACAGTTGTGTTTTCCTTTTACCAGCTGCAAGTGGAGAAAAAGCAAGTTTTTCGGTAACTGTATTTTTGTCTTTGAGTGTTTTCCTTACAATAATCAGCGCTCAATTACCGAAAACTTCAAATAAAGTGTCTGCGTGTAATTTGTATGTATTTTCCCAAGTTCTAATCAGTACTTTTGTTACTATAACTGTTTTGTTAGAAGTTCGGTTTTACCACAGAAGTGAAAATAGAGTAGTCCCAAAATGGCTCCAGAAAATCATCATCTATAGTAGACGGGAAAAGAAGAATAAGCCGACCGAAGACGCAGTTGTCGAAGTAAACACAACAAAGAATGGTGTTATTCAAGATACAATTACACCCGAAACAAATCAAAAGAAGTTTAATGGAACATGGGACATTCAAATGGACCCCGTGACATGGGATGGAGTAGCTAATTGGTTGGACCCTGTTATGTTTATATTCTACACGAGCTTAAATTTGGTATTCAGCATGTGTTTGTTGATATGGGCTTCTTCCGTATAACGTTTTCATTTTTCTTTTTTTTTCCATGGAAACAAGAATGTAATAATAATTTGGATTTTGAAGAATTGCTTGATTTCCATATCATTTTGCTATATAAGACGGAAACATGTAAATCATATCGTTTTTTTTGTTTGTTTTTGTTTATATATTTATTATTTATTTTGTATTTGTTTTCAAGGCAAATGTTAGCACTGTTTTGCATAAATCACCAATATATATCCTTGATAACACAGCGTATTCTGGCTAATCATGTTTTCTCTGATGCATCACGAAACTGAACAAAGCTAGAGGTTTGAATATTGAAGAAACATACGTTTGGTAAACGTTTTAGTTTTGCTTCTTGATTACACCAAACAGCATGATGTTTATGTAGTTAGATGTAGATCTGTAGTACTTTGGAGTAAGTACAAAACTAAATAAATGATGCGTTAGAACGAATTTCATTGGTTTTCATAAGTTTATTCTTGGTCTTTTTCATTTTCCTGCGCTTTTTAACTCGAACAGCAACAACAACAACAACAACATATTTATTTGATAATTAGGCCACCGGCCCATAATATACTAAGCAACATGGATAAACATTTTACGTCCCTCTAATTAATATCGTCAACTTTACAAAGAATATGGTGTATATAAATACATATATTACGTATTGTTGTATCACAACTCGAGTTCATTAATGAGTAGAAATCATTTAAATTTGTTCTTCCATCATACCAATTTAGTAAGTATAGTTGGCGTACTTCATTATATTTATAGCAATGGAAAAAAGCATGAAATTCACAATCTATAATTGAGATATTTCTATTATTTAAACAATATGTACAAAAGCGTTGTTCTCTTGGTATATTTAAATGTCTGCCGATTTCTATTTTAAGTTTGTGGTTAGAACACCTAAACTTAGAAAAAGATTTTTTATAAATAAATAGTAAGTCCAATATTAAGTATCTTTCTACATTTAAAAGTGATTTAAAATTTCTATAATGAAAGCATCGACTAGAAGTATTAATATCATTATGCCAATTTTGATTGTAGCAATCAACCAGTCTCTGTTTAAACAAATGGATAAACATGTCAGGATTACCTATTTCTTGCGAAATCCAGGCAAACCAAAACCATACTCAAATAATAAATTTTATCTTAGTAGCCCAATTATATCTCCCACTATCATCATGATTTTTCAACATAAGATAACATTGTCGCGGATATCTCGATTGTTGCATAGTCAATAACTTGCACCAATATTTTATACAGTTAGTCATATAAAATATACATAATGGTAACCTGCCACATTCTCCTAGTGCCATTGCGTTATTTGTAGTTCTATTAACATTAAGGTACCTTTTACAAAAATCATTATGAACAGTTTCAATAGTATTTACATAACAATAACCCCATACTTGTGAGGCATAACATAATATTGGTTTCACCAAAGCATCAAATAATTTAAAGTATTCTTTGACTGGAAAATATCCAAATGGCTTTTGATACTGTTTGATGGCTAGAATAGATTTCTTGGCTTGAATAGACAATTTATTGTGGGTTGATGACCAAGATATAGTAGGTGTAAGATAAACACCCATATATTTATAAATTGATACTTCATTAACAGGAGATCCACGATAGAGCCAAGATTCATAATTTCTAAGACCACCTCCATTACGGAATACCATAATCTCTGTTTTATTTAAATTCAATTCCATACCCGTATCTTGATAAAATACGTCTATTATATTAATTTGTTGCTGTAATTTGACAGCGGTTTCTGCGCAATTAGCAATGTCGTCCGCAAACATAAGACAGTTAATGTCATGTATGTCGTTAGTTATAAAAATCCCTGTTCCACACGAGAGACGTAGTAACTCTGCTAATTCATTAATAAAAAGTATGAATATAGTTGTGCTGCTTACGTCTCCCTGTTTTGTTCCAACATTACATGGGAAATAATCAGTAGATAAATAACAGCAATTGTTATCATTTAAATTTGGTCTATTTTTAGCATGATTACAGTCCAGTTTAACACACGATAATAGATCGGTATACATAGTCTTGAGCACGCGTAAAAATTGCCGCGGAGACCTCTACGATGTAATATTTCAAAAAGCTTCGCGTGATTTAATTTGTCGAATGCTTTCTTAAAATCAACATAAATACAATAGAATCTACCACCTTTTCTTGTTAAATATATCTTCGGATTATTACTAACATTAATGAGTTTTTGTCTTTGGTCGCGCTGAAAAAGTAGCTGTTTTCTACGACAATACGCCTTAAACTTATTACGTTTTACCTTATATACTCTTTAATCATGTATTAAGTTTGATGTTCTAAACCTACGTAGCGCGTTATATTTCTCGCGTTTATATAAATCGCAGTTTCCACCCCACCATTCGGGCTGTGACTGTTTGTATCTAAAGGATCTTATTCGCATATTAGATCCTGCCTCTTTATAAACGGCTGTCAATATAGACAATGCGCTGTCAATATTAGTCGTTATCTCAGACAAAATTCTACCTTGTTTCTGACGTAACAGACTACCAAACTGACTTAAAAAATTAGCTCTATGGACTTCATTCCAACGAAAATTTTCGTGTTCAATTGTACACGTTACATCATTATCATAAGAAACGGCATTAATTACCAAGTCCTTGTATGGTAAAGACAGAGAACATGATATAGGGAGATGATCAGATACATCATTTGCGTAGCATGTATACTTGCCTAATGTGTCATTTGGATATCTCCCGTTTAAAATGTGAATATCATACAAACAACATACAAATGTAAATTAAGCAAAGATTTTCCAAAATTATTACAAACGCCATCTTTATTGTTACGAGGTAAACAAAATGTACTACCGTTGTAATCAGAGTCACCAAATATATACGTTAAAGTATCATCATAAATAAAATCAGGTAAATTTTTTGTTCTAGCATTTGTATCTCCAGCAAAAAGAATATATGAATTAGGAAAGTTTAATTTTATCATTTCAATATCACCCTGAATTTTAATAATTCCATCATTTTCTTCTAAATTATCATAAACAGAAGATCCCTCCGCTGAAACATACGCAAAATAAAAAACAACATCTTCTACTGTAAACAACTGAGAAGACTTCTGTCATGTCATAAAAAATACGTTCAATCAAATGTAAACATTTTAAACTAGAGTTTATAAATACACTAACCCCTCCACTATTTCTAATGTGAGCATTATTATATGGTCTTACATATAACCGGGCAGTATTCTACAATAATGCACTAAAAACTCATAAATATATCCTAATCAAAAAAGTAATTTGGCTATGGTATCCACAACTTATGCTCGTATCCTCAATTGAATTATAATAATGCACATGTTTTGTACTATTTCATTAAATAAAATTGTTCAATTTAAATGGCTTGTAAAGTATAACGATCATAATTATAACCGTATTTCAAACACATGACAGTAGTGTTTGTGATGGTTTTATGTAAGTTTACATCTAGAAAGGGATAATCCTGCTAAAGGATTGCAGACAATGTTGCAGATACTGATAGAGATTGTCATAAAATGTGCAACATCTCTCATGTTTATTAAAACCGGCTTATATTATATTTAATCCCCAGCACTGTAAAAAAATCAAAATCAACGTCCCCGATGGACCAGAAAAATGTAACTCCTGTAAACTCCTGTAATGTTTCAGCAAAATATGAAAAATGTCTCTGTCAATATTAATAATGCCCCTCCCATTTTGAGGAAGTAAATAGTTTTGCAGCGTTCTTTCTTCCTTCCTGTCCCAGCTCAACGGTCGAGGTCACCATGGTCATTATTGAGAAGACTTCATTCATTCAAATAATTCGGACCACTGAGAATTTTAGAAAGTAATAGTTGATGTAATCTTGTAAGACCTTTTTTATAGTAACCATGCATTTGTTGAAAGTAAAAGGTCATGTTCCTTTACTGGGCAAAACTTTAGGGGTATTTGTCTCATTCCAACTACTCACTGTTTTATGTACTAAGCAAGACGATTATCATGCTTGCTGCACCGACAATCTTCTCTTATATCAGTGTGCAATAATAATGCTGATAATTATGTTTGATGGCTTTTACATTTTACAGCTCATCTAAAAAATGTTTTTGAAAGATGGCAACAGCAAACACTTCAGAGAAATCTTATTTACCTGAAAAAACTTTCTGATACTAATATTATTATGCAAGTTTAGTTAAGAACATGATGTAGTTCCATAAAGAGTGCATCAAAAAATGTAAACTGTGCACTTTATTTGACCGCCTAAAAATTACTCTAAACAAAATATGTTTGTAAAATATGTATGCCCCCTATCGTCAGCCAATTAGTCATGTGATCAAGTTATTATGCATGACCTCTGACCCAGTAAACAAACAATTAATAAGGGTTATCAGTTATCTAGTATCTACTGGTCATGACTAGTCACAAGGTAATAATTATTGTGACCCCATAGGTTGTGTGCAGCAATTTAAGTTATTACAAATCTTACCAAATAATATATGCATAATTTTTATGAATCATGTAGGCCTCATTAATGACAGCCAAGTTGTTATATTACATAAGACCTTCAAATGTGTATACCAAAAGCATTTTTAGTTTAATATAAAATATCAACTTGAGTTGTTGAGTTATTGGTCAGAAACCGTCATTAAGTACAAGGTCAATATGACATTGACCCCTTGACCCCAAAATCAATAGGAGTCATCTACTGGTCATGACCAATCATCATACCAAGTTTGAAGTTCCTAGGCCTAAGGGTTCTTTAGTTATTGATCGGAAACCGTTTTTACCTACAAGGTCAATGTGACCTTGACCTTGGACACCTTGACCCCAAAATCAAAAGGGGTCATCTGCTGGCCATGACCAATCATCATACCAAGTTTGAAGTTTCTAGGCCTAAGCGTTCTTCAGTTATTGATTGGAAACCGTTTTTACCTACAAGGTCAATGTGACCTTGACCTTTGACAACTTGACCCAAAAATCAATAGGAGTCATCTGCTGGTCATGACCAATCATCATACCAAGTTTGAAGTTTCTAGGCCTAAGCGTTTTTGTATTTTCTGATCGTAAGATCAGTAAATACATACCTAACATCCACGGTCTAACACAAAATGTCCTCAACAGTCCTAACAACGCAAAGTAGTTCTCACTCAAAACTGCTTAAAAACCAGCAATTTAAAAGAAAGAATAATTTTTAATGTAGGCATTTAACGAATTACAGTGCATTACAAGTTTTGATTAGTCAATAGAAATATGAGGTTACAATCACAAATTTCGCGGATGAATATCTTTTTTACCCAATGAAAAATGTTCGGCTATTTCCGTAAAGCTTCGGATTATCATGAATATCATTTTAATAAATGAAAATGCTATTTTTAGCTATGTCGATTACTGAATACTCCAGAGCATAGTACACACATAAATCTGACTGTCGAGTAGTGGAATATATACATGTCGGACTGTTTTGGCGAGAAGATTTTCGCTAAATT